GATGCAGGGTTGTGAGAGGTACGAGAGTTCCATGCATTCAACGCAACAACGAGAGACCAGAGTCTTGAGGGAATCGACGGGAGGATATTATAGTCTTGGGCTACGAAATCGTAATAAACCGTGAAAAATCAAATCGTTGGCTTTTGATCACTTACCGTAGTTCGGATCCTGATTCGCCGCGTGGATCCCGGATGGTCCTGGTATCAGTCCTGCAAGTATCGATTATGGTCACAATTACGCAACTCGTCAACACTGAACGGGAAATTATTAATATCAGTTCGTCGATTCGACGTCTTTTCGTTTCTATTTCTACCGTTTCTACCGTTCGTCGATTGGCCGAGAGTCATAGTGACCCAAGTCAGTTGCACATTGCGGCGTTTCGTCAACTGGGTGTTCGTCCGACAAATATTGTTCCTTGCAACTTTTTTCATTTTCGAATGTACAATTCAATTAGCTACGAAACTAGAAGGGACGATACGAAAATTAACATCCTGACTTGTACCATTATTATCTTTCATTTCATTTCGCCAATTAAAAGTTACCCCGGGGAGAGAATGAAGTTGAATTGATTTCCATGAAATTACCTGGCAATCCCAAGATCGTCGGGAATGAGTTACGATGATGCTCTATATTGTCGTTTAGGATATCGCTCGGCTCGGTTTTCACGGAATTCAGGATACTGTCGTTATTCGACATCTCCTCCTCGTTGTCCGACATCGAGTTCGAGTCCTCGCCAGTAGACTGCGTCTGTAACAAATCGCAACATTCCGCTTTTCTCATCCAATCTTTCCAAACCGCGTTTAAACTGATAATAAAAAAAAAAAAAATTCTGAAGTGAAATGGTTTAGAAAGTTATTATTATATATCCAGAGTTCCATGATACTCTGTGACGCAAAAGAGTATACACAGTAATAAATCGGTGACACGAGAGTTGTGTGTCAAAGGGTTGTGTCGACTCAACGAGAATTTCTTCCTTACCTGTACATTGTTCGTAGGTGTGGTGTGTATCGTGGGTCCTCCTTCCAGAGCCTGCCCCAAGAGCGATTCCTGCAGGTCAGTTTTTTGCTCCACGTGGTTACCCAAAGGCGGACTGTAGCTTCGAGGTCTTTTCTCTGGCGGAGGACTCAGAGCACCCTCGTTCAACTCTCCCCTGCCATTGTCTTGCCAGGGATTGCGTGGCGTGGCCTGTGGGGACCGATTGATCGTCGCTCGATTACACTCGAAATTAACGCGAAATTCAACATCCACGGAGGATGAAAAGTCACCCCGCTTACCGGTGCACTACCGTTGTTTCCACCGGAGGACGTGGACGGCGGAATCTTCGCAGTGGCGGCGCCGCTGTTCACGTCGGCCAACCCCCGAACCTGAAGCATCTGCGCCGTCTTGAGGAAAGCGGCCAGCTGCTCCTGTCCCACGTGAACCTCGCCGTGGTACATGAAACGCAGCAACGACTCCATATCCGACGAGGCAACGTCCCTCAGGATCACGATCGGATGCTGGCATGGATTCGCCTACATAGATGGAACGAACGATGGAGAAGAGAGGCAGCAACAAGAGAAGAAGAGAAGAAGAGAAAAGAAGAAACAGAAGAGAAGAAAAGAAACAGAAACGACATTGAAAGTCTCGCTTAGAAGAAAGTCCCTACGTTAAGTGAGCGAAAATGAATTCCAGATTGCGCTATCCAGAGAGCGTTGATTATGATCGATGCTGCCCGGACGAATCTCGTTCATGTAAATCAGTTAATCCTATTTATCAGGTCGTTCAGCCCCGGCCAGGTCTGGTCAATTGATTTACAACGACGATTTATAACTACGACACGTATAACGAGCTACGTTTAATCCACGTCGTCGATACCTTTCGCGTAGCTTTTAACGACTTCAACCAACTATACCTAAACTACAGTTCCTTCTCTCTCTTTCTCTCTTTCTCTCTTTCTCTTTTTCTCTATCGTTACAACGCGCTTCTTGCTCTTTTGTCTTCCCTCTTTCTCTCGGACCTGGCCAGCCAACAGCCAAGCCAGCCTACAAATTAACCACTCGTACAAACTAGCCGCTCTATAACGGGGAACACGATCATCCTTGATGGAAGATGGGAATTTATACGGATGTATACAGCGTGCACTTGCACGTTAGAGGCGTCCTGGCCGATCTATGTCTCGTGCAATATACGAACCGGCGCTGCGCCCGCCATTATCGACACCGATATTAATTATAATTAATGACCGCCGGCGCTTTCCAACGGTAACGCGCGGCCACGCGCAGTTATTTCGAGGCGACGCGACGCGACGCGACGTACATACACATACAACGACGGATCGGCAAGAACGCGAGAGGATGGGTCGGTTATGCGCCAGGCGGAATATCTCGCCGGCTCTCGCCGATTATCGAGAGACACGAAATCGCTTCGAATCGGCGTACATATGTTGTCGCGGAAGCCGCGAGAATATTTATTATTGTCGGTCGGCCACTATCGATTTACCCGTTGCCAGTTATAATCGCTCCAGATTTTGTAACATCAACCGGCGTGTGTCGACCGGTTAGAACTCGACACTCTCCGATCCGCTTGAATTTTCTTCCTTCTTTCTTTCGTCCCTTTTTCGTCGCATGATCGAGATTGGCTGGTACACCGGTTCTCTCTGGAACACCCAGTTGTTGTCCCTGTTGTCGATTTCTTTCGTGACGTTCCCGCCTTTAAACTGTGCTAGTTTTCGACTCTTTCGGGGATGCTCTAAGCTCGGGATTAAGATGGAACTTTCGAGCAACGCACCAACTAAAAAATGACTAAACTTGTCACGAGCAAACACACTCGTCGCTAGAATACGACCACAGGTATAAGAATGAAAGAGATATAATTACGCAATTTTTCTAAACAGAAGCTTGTCAACCGCTACATGCTTATGTTAATCGTTAGGGAACCGTTAGTAATTACCAACGTGTAAGCTAGTAATTACCAGACGGCTAGTAATTACTAGCCTGCGGATATTTATATTTTACAAATTTCTGTTTTTACAACCGCGACTCGGCAATTGAATGTTACTACAACTAGCCAGATACTTCAATGAACTCTACACTCTCGACACTTTCTGCGTTTTTACAACCTCGAATTTCTTGCGGACCGGCGGTCTATTAATTACTTCGAGAAATCCGACCAACGTCCCGCAACAGGAAATAAAAGTACACGCCCGTGCAAGCGAGAATCGTGGAGCTTAGCTAATCCCTGCTCGATCGAAGAATTCTTATTACACAGCTGCCAGTAACTTCTGAATGAGATTACTGGACACAGCGTGTCCAAACATTGGCAAAAGCGAGAGCAACGTCCATTTGCTCGTCACGTCGGTTATTCGCTCCAAAACCGTGAACGTACACATCATCGGCAAAGGGATTTTCACGATCCTGAGACTGCACGGTATAATTGAAATAATCGTCGTGGTTCAAAGTATCTCTCTCTCTCTCTCTCTCGCCGATGCAGTTCCGTGCTGGCGTTACACAAAGGCAGGAACGAGCTCCGGCGATGGAACAGAAAAGGGGAAACGAAAGAGGCGAAAAGAGAAAGGGAAACGGAGAGAACTCCGCCATGGACTCCTTTATCGCATTAACCAATTTAATTAACAACTTTGAGACGGACTCCCCCTCCCCCGCTAATTAGACCTAACGCGATTAAAACGGGTCAATAATTAATTGTATGGACGCTCGCCGTGCGTCGCAGCACAGAGCGAAGCGCCAAGAATTTATTTTGCCACCGTCGCACGACAGACGAATGTATTTTCGTTTGTACATCGTAGAATAATCTCGATCGACTCGAGCGATCGATCGCAAATTCTTTCGCAAAATTGCGTTTCCTCTATGTTTTTTTTTTTTTTTTTTTTTTTTTTTTAATGCAGATATAGATATCCTATAGATATTATCACAACAACCACAGAAGAGTTGCTCTGACGTAACTCGATAGAAATTAACTCTTTGAACTCGATTTGTCCTCAATGTTGTTGCATCTATTTCCATGTAACTTAATGGCAGATTAATGTACCACGGTAAAGTTCAATGTTTATTCATTTACTTATTATTGCAATTTCTAAAACAATTTCATGGCAAGTTTTGTGTTATCCAGGGTGATACACGAGTTCAAGGAGTTAAATTTGCGTAAAGATATCCACTCGTAATGTCCACGACGAACGAAAACAAATGATTTTTATCTGCCGATCTTAATCGAGCGTCTCTCTCGCTGATAGTCGATATTCGATTCCTCTCGTCGTTTTTAATGTTTTCCTAATGCGTGTTTTCGTGAAGGCAGGAATGCAGACCAGGTATTAATCGGCATCGAAACGTAATTTCGAAATTGAATCGAAGGTAATTAGACACGCCGATGCGGGACACGTAATAATACGCGTGCGACGTGCCACCTCGAGCCGGGGGAATTATATTTCGCGCACACATTCCGTCAACAACCAGCGTCGAGAAAGAAAAAGTGTACGTTCGCAAGCGTGTCGATGGATGATTAAAGACGCAAAGTCTTCCCTCCCGACGCCAGTTTGCAACGTCGTTCAATTTTTCATTTTTATTTTCGCCCGAGCCTCGTCCAGCCGCAATTAAAAAACTGTCGCGAAGTTTGAACGAGAACGATAGCGACGAACGATCGATGGCTTTTCAGAGAGCGACGAGGGCTCTTTGCTTTTCGCCAGTGGTCCAAAGGCCATCCCGGATAACCGGATAGGTTCATTTCGACGAAAAGTCTCGCTATTTCGTACATCGATAGGTCGCGTCGTTTTTCCCGATCGGGGAGAAAATTAGAATTCCAATAGTCGAAGTTCAAATAAATGGCGAAGGAAGAAGCCGAAGAAGTAATTACGGACGTGCTCCCCCTCTTTCTCCCTTTCTTTCATTAAACGCGACTCGAGACGAGTTCGAAAAGTGAAGACACAGTGTCGTATAAAATTCCAGATAACCGAACGATTAATTATTATCGCCATCTCGCTACCACCATTTTATTCTCGTTAAAAACGCATCAAGTCTGCTCCGGCACGCCCGAGGTATCGGCGCTCGCGATCTAAAAAAAAAAAAAA